TAGAACGCTCAAATCGTTCAAATCGCGCTGCTCTAATCGAGCTTGAGGCGCCGCAGCACTTCCTGACGCTGCTTGAAGCGCGTCCACCATAGACTTTGTATGTAAACCTGCTGCTBCTGAYGCTGAAATCGCGTTTGGTGTGAACGCACCATCAGAGGTGAAAGTCTGCGTGTTTTTCCGCATTATTTGACTTGACCCAAACAAAACAACGAAGCAGCAGCTTTTTATCTCGACAAAATTTGCTAAACAAATTCAATGTGTATAAAACCTTCAGCCTGATTTATTTGCACAATTTGCATGCAGCCTTCATCGGGTCTAACTTACTGAACAACGTGCTGATTGCACTGGTCTGGGTGAAACCAGTCCACACAGTGAGAGTAAGAAACACTGAGTTTGTTTGATTAACTTCTCCGCTTCATTTCTCATCGTAAGCTGTTAAAACAGGTTAACACAGCAGGTTAATTTATCTCCYCTTCGTTAGCTCTGACAGGAACTGGTGTCTTACAACTGGAGCATCATCAACAGTAAGAGCTTCTACTGGGAATGGCAGATAAAATCCAGGGGCCTAAAGTGAAATTTTATACCGTTTTCCCCTTTCACAGTCTGTGAAAATCCTTTTGAAGTCACCAGTTTAGCATATTAGCAGTTTTAATGATGTAAAATAAGTGTGTGTAATGGTCTAGTTGTAGGAGGATTTAAATAGTTTGTAGGGGAAAAGAAAAGCGCTCATCCTCACCTGTCTGAAGAGATCCTTGATGTGCAAATGATCAGGCAGCAGTTTGCCAGCAAAGATCAGCCTCTGATCCGTCACAGCCTGAAAAAAACAAACATGTGGATTTGAGTTAGTTACAATTTGTGGCAACAGAAACAGTGACAAGAGAATATGTCTGCAGTCTTTGGTTTATTTAAGACGATCACTGTACTGAGATAAAATACACTTTGAGTACTTGGCTTTCAAAACGTAATCCAAATAAACACGGTGCTGCGGAGCCACTTGTTTCATAACACTGACTGAACCAGCCAAAACCCACATGGCTAATTTCCCAGAGATTAGACCCCTTTCATCAGTAATCATTGACTTTACAGGGAAACCAGGTTCGACTCTTCAACAACAACAACTCAYGGTTGGCCACATCACATCTGCTGCCTGCGCCGAAGCATCAACTGTCAGCTCTGTATTCGCTCTCCATCAGCTCAGAAGCCCGTTCAAAGCTGCTTTTGCACGACAAGCCCAAAGAAACCTAAAAATCTTTGTTTACTATAAAAACTGAGCAGTTTTTTTTTGCTTTAAAACAGCTGCACTAACCCACATCTTGTGTTTAAACCTTAAAAAGTGTAATCTGTTTAAATTATAAAATTTAAAAGTTCAAGTTAAAACTATCAAAGTTTATATCAGACAAGACTCAAAGAGACTGTTTTGATATAAACAGAAAATTGTCTTTTTTGTTTTATTTTAAAAGACAGTAACTTTTAGGAAACTATTACATTTTAAATGATTTATGAATATAGATAAAAAACGTTCTGTAGATGCTTTATGCCACAAATCTGTATTATTTTTGGGAAACTGTATCGTTCTCTTAGTTTTTTTTGTGCTACAGACAACAGTCTGCATTGTTTAAAGCCAGACGGCTCCACTGGTTCACATTTTAATGAAAACATGAAATTAGCTGATTCGCAGCAAGTTCTCCAACTTTGATCTATGATGTAGGGTTTGTTCATGTAAGAAATTACAAGATCATAATTACAAGATGCTATTAAAGTCCCAAAAGTGCTTCAAAGAACTGGAAATATTAAAGCTGCATCAGACTAAGAACTGTATTTATGTCGTTATTTTGACTGGATCTGAACTCATGTTTTTTGTAAATTACAATAGTTTGAATAATATTCAAATAATTGTAATAATTGTGGGATAATGGGGCAGATATTATAAGATATTTCTCTTCTTTCTGCTGCCTTTCATTTGAACTGATCTGTGATTCGTCTATATCTATTTTCTATTGTATTGTTGTTTTGTTTTTAATGAAATAAATAAATTAAAAAGCAAAAAAAAACTCGTGTAATAAGTAAATAC